AGAGCCTCGTTAAGACATGGATCTCAACATCAACAGAGAGGAAAAGTTGGAAATTTGGCTCGAGGTAGCTCTCACAAGCAAAGAAGAAAGTGAACGTGAAAAAGAAGTCATGTGGGCTCCTGCAGAGACCACACCAAGATGCCGGCCACTCTCTGGACCGCCTGCAATTAAGGCCCACGTCTCTGCTGTTCCTGGTCCTATGTGCCTCTCGGAGGCCTTTGAGGTCAATTAAGGAACAAACTGAAACGAACAAAAGTTGCTGTGCCTTGTGTTAAGAGGACTGACCTTTGGAACAGAAAACCCAGTATTAAAAATTCGTGTTTACTACTTGCTCTCTGTGTGATCTGGGGCAAGTTTCTAAGCATTTCTGTGGATTGTAAGAGTCTGTTTTCAGAAATGTAGTAAGAGAAAATGTGCGTGGATTAGAATGGAGACAGGATAGAATTCAAAGATTCCTTTTCTCTTCTGGGTGCTAACCCTGCAGCTATGAACATGGCCCTTCCTGAACCCACAAGGTGAGAACATTCTGGAATGATAGGCTGACTCACCTCAGCCAGCAGTGTCCAGAGGCAGAGGCATATAGGCACTCCCTGGGAAACAGAACCTGAGGTGACAAAGCTCCTCAGCGCTGTGCCCGATCCAGCCTGGCTATCCTGATGGCTGGAGCTCAGATCACATCTGCTCACTCGGTCCAGCAAGCCCATCTGCATCAGGGCCCCGTAACAAAAGGCCAGCCCTCACCCTCTCCCTGCTCACTCTCACGGCCCCATCATGGTGGTGCCGTCAAAGGTAAATAGTAGGCTTGCCCAGGGAGCTGGCAAAGCAAACGCATTTGTGCATCATCATCATTGCTAAAGCTAATATCACCACGTGCAGTGTGTGTGGGTGGAGAGGGGCTGACAGCCCAGCTGGTGACGCCATGCCACAGCAATCCCCTGGCCCACAGCCAAAGGCCCAGGACCCCATCCTGGAGCAGCAATGTGGATGGAGGGATGACCCCCAGCTGGTGGTAGAAGGCTTTCTTCCTTCCCTGAACCCCTAGTCCAGGAGAAGCCTCCTGGGCCACGTGGTCTGCTCTGAACACAGCCTGGGGAGGCATGTGGGCTCAGCACATGATGGATGGGGCTGTGGGAGCCAGGGCCCTTCCGGCACGGTCTGAAGCATGTGATATTCCCAGGAAAGACTGGGAGACTTTGATTATTCCCTTTGGATTTGAAGAACAGATCGCAGCTATCACAGACAGGATGCAAAAGGAATTGAGCAACGGAAAGATTAGCCACATAGCAGAAGTTCCCTCGGGATCCCCCTGGTGGGCAGAATACTCACTCTCACACCACTTCTCTCCCCAGAGCACCCCGTGGGCCCTGCCATGTGGGATCTCAGCTCTGGAAGATCCGGGGGAGAGCTGCTTCTGTATGCCAGTGCCTGCTGGTCACACTGGCTGGCTTGTCTCCATGGGACGTCCCTTTCCCGGAATGGAGAGCTGGCCCTGGGCTCTATGTTGGTGTCTGCTAAGGAGGGGTCTGTTCCTCAGTTGCAGAGATGGAGCTACCTACATCCCTCAGTTTCAGGCACTGGACAGGCCTGGCTCCATTGGAGCAAGGACCCTCAGCCCTATCTGCACGTCAGAAGAAGCCATCAGTAAACTTTAAAAAGGACCGATGTTCAAATCCCTGACCCTAGACCAATTAATTCAAAATGTCTGAGGGCGAAGCCTAGGCACAGGTATTTTTCTTCAAAGCTTCCCAGGCGATTCCAATATGCAGCCAGGATTGAGGACCACTGTGTGGATGGATAATGGTGGTGGTGGTCTTCCCTTCCGGGGGAAGAGCCGTGAACTGTGAGCTCCAGTGTTACTTTCCGATTGTGCTTCATGGTATTGTGGCGACATGCCTCTCTCTTTTTCCTTAGTTTTGTATCCTAAAACATGATTCGTATTCCCTTTGTCTTTTCTGTTCTGTTTTGTTAAGCTGAACTTTTTATAGTGGTCTTGGTTTCTTTCCTTTTATTCTGCCTTTCATAGATTTATTGATTCGCCATCCAACGTTTAATGAATGCCCACTATGACAGGCGGTGTGCTAGCTGCTGGGGAGGCAGCGCAGGCAAGAAGGCCAGGTCTCATGAATGCATGTTCTACGGCAATTTACGCCGTTCTTTTCTCTTCTTTTTTTCTGTGATATTTGAATTTTTTTTTATAGACATGCATCACTGGCCCCTTCATTTCGTCTTTTTTTCACTCCTTGAACTCCTCTTTAGTATATTGATTATAAACAACGCCTCTGCCCAAGGGAAACTAAATCAGCTCAGTTACTTTCATCGGACAGTGTTTTGTACGTGTGTGTGAACGTGCAGGTCTTGTGTTGTGTATGTACGGGAACTCTAGCATCAGAATAATGTCTGGGTTTGGAGATTCCTAATCCATGCCTCCTTTTACTTCTGTGGGAAGGATCTTAGAGAACACAGGCTTCGTTAAACCCATTGTCTCTGCCCCCAGAGAATACTCAGTAAATGAATGAAGATTTATTGAGGGCTTTGTATGTGCAGGACACTGAGCTAGATGCTTTTGGGAGGGGAAGGGTTTTGGGGGGCTGACAAGGTAACAGGAAGAGAAAGGCCCAGCCTCTCCCTCAGGAAGCTCACCAGGAACATTGGACTATGTTTCATGCAGAAGGAGTGAATGATACAGGGCCGTTATAGTGAGGGCCAGTAGGTACTTAGGAAACCCAAAGCTTGGGGCAGACAATCTCATGTCATTACCGGCATCCGTGCACATTATTCTGAGGTAGACAGTACTGTGGTCCCACATTTCTGGTGTGGACCCTTCCTCTCTCAGCTCTGCATCTTCCATCAAATAGGCACCAAGGGATACTAGTCCTAGGTGACAGGCTACTGGCACATACTTCCACCACATTGGCAGAGCTCACCCGGGAGCCAGGGACTAGGCTTTTCTTGTTGAAAGAAGAGAAACATTTCACTTACTCTCTGCTCACAACCATTATAAGTTTGATTTGTACTTTCTTCCCCAGGCCCACAGCCAACCACGGGCTTTGTTTTTAGCTCCTAGTACAAGGGAATTTGTTGTTAGCTGCATCTTATAACCCAAGGGAAAAAACAAACCTGTTTTCTTTTTCTCAAAATCTAGGGATTTCTTTATAGATCTGGATCTACTCTCTGAGATAGTGGTTTTGATTTTTTTTTTTTTTACACTGTGATCCTTATTAAGAAATACGTTTTACGTCACCCCATATAGCTGAAATGAAGTTTCCCAAAACATTACTTGCCCTTACCAATTGCAATGCCCTCAGATATTTTATATTCTATTTTATTTTTAAAAATGGGCTGATCCTTCACCAAATTAAAATCATGGGATAAGAATGGGTTGTAACCCCCAGTTAAATACTCTTCTAAGATCAGCTCTCCGCGTTCTTGGTCTAACACACCCTTGTGGATTCTTGGACAATAGCAAACTCTAAGCTTTTTCAGTCACCAAGGTGCCTTCTGAGCAAAGCACGGACTGCCATTCTTAAAAGATTTAAATTCATGGGCCTGCGCCTTTCTGCTGCTTGTGGCTAAAAACTGAAATGGAGAATCTTTTCTCCTCTAAGACATGTCCTCTTAGGACATTCTAGCAGCAAAAATCAGAGAACGAAAATTGGTAAACAAGTGATAGAACTTGTCTCTGGCTTTTGATGAGGTTTTCCCTATGTTTTTCACAGCTGCTAATAGATCACATAGATAATAGGTACCCGTTAAGCTAACACACGTAAAGAGCCCACCACCTGCCTGATCAGATGCCCAAGGAGTGTTATTCCTCCACTGCCTCAGTTGATGAGAATTCCTTGATGCTTTGACAGGACTCGAAGCTTTCTTATATCTAAGAGGTAATATATTCCCACACCAAAATGCCTCGCAAAGGTTAAACATGTTTTTAAGTCCTTTCTCAATTTTTCTAAATGTAAAAAGGGGTTAGGTTGGTATGTGTGCCAGCCCAGATGGGCTAGAGTGGTCACGCAGGGAAGCAGTAAGATATAGGAGCGAATGCATGGCTTGTAGAGCCAGGCTATTTATGCCCATTTCCCATCATGCTTCCCACCCACCTCCCACTGGTCTAAGCATGAGTGGGGACCTATGAACACTCATTCAGTGCAAGTAGGTTTGGGGATCCTCCTCGAAGCTGCTGGTGGCATAGAGATGGGTGGACACCTGACATCCTTAGTGGCAGGACAGAAGCTTTGGGTCTCTTGTTGAGCTCGTGGGAAGTTTGATGAAGATACCAAGTGTCAGAGACTCAGGACCATCCATGCTCAAATGGCAGACCTCGCCTGGGGAGTATTTTCTTCTTCCTTCTCTGTGCGTGCCATTCCTCAGCCTCTGGGACCAGCCGATGGCCTGCCGGGTTAGTTGTATCAGTATCTACACACTACCAGTGTGACCTGAGACCTCCATGCTGCCCTGAAGCCGAGCCTTTGTCATAGCTAAATCATCGGTCACCCACAAGCCAAATTTTTCTGAGCAGATAAGAAAGGAAGACAACATCCTGATACCAGGGAGCCAGGAAAAAAGGGCCACCCATGTTGTCATCACTTTATAGTCAAGATAATCAAGCTATAACTGTGATTTTAAACATATGAGAAACACGTCAGCAGATCAGGATCTGAGGTTGGGTCATAGAAGCCAGTTCCAGGCTTCTCGCTGGATCTCAGAAGTCAGGCTCTCGGCCTCGCTGCCATAAGGGTGGGCCAATGCAAGGATGATTTAAATATATTTGTTCATATTAACCGAAGGCAGTTGTTCCTTGATATTTGTGGGAAAATTTTTAAATTTTGCCCTCAAGGGTATTTTGTCACCCAGGCTTTAAATGCCAGCTCTGCCTGCCCAGTTCAGACCCAGCCCAGCATTCCGTCTGAGTTTGCCCAAAGGAATCTGCTGATTCATGTCACATGAGTTGCATGGCTCACCCCTGGTTCGTATCTCTCAATTAAACATGCAGACAATAGGTGTGTGGTGTGCACTTTGGTCCAACACTTCCGGTCACCCATGCTTTGGATGTGGGGTGGGGACATAAACATACCTCTGCATCACGGAGACCAGGGTTCCCGGTGGTGCTCCTGAGACACCGTGGGAACACATTTCATACTAAGAGACCTCGCGTTTGGCAGCGGCTCCATGGTTTAGTTGTTACAAAGTACTGTCACTCCTTTCATGGCTTTTATTTATGACCATGGCTTACAGCCAAGAAGCTGAAGCCACGATGAGGGACGTGCCCAAGTTCTCACAGCTTTGGCCGACCTGGGATTCCAGCCCCATGCCCTTCCCCAGCAGACCAGTCCCTGACACGGGCAATTTCTGGGCACCCACATTCCGGGGAGGCCATGTGAAGGGAGTTGAGTGGGCTTGGTCTTTTGATGCCTTCATCTAGAACATGCTACCCATCTTTGACCCATCTACCTCGAGACATCTGCCTTAATGTTAATATTTATTATTTACAGCCAGCCACTGCCCTCTTTCAAAGGTGAACACAGTAAAATTTATGACAGGCACATTATCAGACAATAAAGGAGCATAAAAGGAGGAAGAGTGACAACTGGTCCATTTGTGGAAACGGTTCATCTGAGGCCCGCGATACTTGGAGGATTCTGGAATGGGGCTGTGGACACACGTTTTCGTCCTGGGGCTGCTGCCACTTCTGGAGCAAGGTAAGTCTGCCTGAAGGGTCAGCCCTGCTGGTGTCCCATGTTGCTGAGGCACGGAGCTTGCGAGCGGAATGTGTACTCTTCACGAGCACAGAATGTACAGTTCAGACCCAAGCGGGCTGGAATGCTGAGGTTAAGTGCCCAAGGCCGTGGGGTGAGAGGTCTTGGGATACGTGAGAAGGACGAGCAGCAGCTCTATGGTGGGAGAAGAAGCCATGGGTGTAGGGAGTCACAAAGACCTGGATTCTGTTCTCTGTGCTGTGTGGAGCCTTAGGCAAGAGCTACCTCCCTGGACCTTGATTTTTCTCATCCTACACGTGGAAATATTACTAATAAGAAGCATATTTTGATTATTACTTTTTATGGGCTTGGTTTTGTTTTTGCTGAAAGAACAGAAGAAGACAGATTTCGGGATAACAAATTCTAAAAGATTGCTCACTTTCTTTAGTGCCATTCACCTTGATGGAAAAGAGTGGGCTGCCAGCCAGGACTTTGGGTTTCTCCTGACAATAATAATTACAGTGAGCTTGTGCCTCTACTGTCATCCCTCTCTGCCCCCGTCCACCTGACCTCTGGCTCTTCCCTCCTCCCTTTGTTAGAAAGACAGAATTCTTTACACTGGGAAGAATCTTAAAGATTTTTTTTAGCTTCTCTACCAAATGAAAGTCCTGGGCCCAGAGCGAGAAAGCATTTGCCCTGGAGCCCCTAGAGGGACAAAAAGAGATAGAGAACAGAGGCCTGGCTGCAGTCCAGGCACCAGTCCTGCTGTGTACCTTGGACAAGTCGGTTGCCCACTCTGAATCTAGGGGTGTGCGTGTCTAGATGGGAGGATTGGGGTGAGGGGATAATAATGCCTACTCTGCTTACTGCACCGAGTGATTGCATTTTCCTGATTGCTACTGAGGCTGAGGAGCTTTTATTTTAACGCTTGTTGACCATTTGATTTCCTCTGTCGTGAAGTGCCTGTTCAAGTGTGTTTCCCATCATTCCATGGGTTTTTAGGAGGAGTTTTTCATACATGCTGTGCACTCACTCTTTGTGGGTTATACATAGGGCAGATACATCTACTCTGAAGTTTGGTTTTCCACTCTCTTTATGGAGACTTTAGATGAGCAAAATACTTAATTTTGGGAAAAAAAAAAAAAAATGAAGACCACCCACATGAGAACAAATGGCGTCTATTCAGAGGTTGCTGTGGCAAGGGGGTCAGCCAATATCACTTGTGTTGGGCAGAGACTCCAAGGCAGGCAGGGGAGTGAGAAAGCTTGAGAGTAAAAAGCGGAAGGCTTCAGGTGTCCTCTGGTTGGAGGCTGTTGCCACGGGGAAGCTGGAGGTTGCTAACTAGAAACGAAGTGATTCATTTGGGGAATGTATCCAGCTTTCGCCGGTTGATCCTGAGTGGAAACGAACAAAAGTAGAGAAGCTGCGATCATGGCCCAAGTTATACAGAAATAAAATAGATTTTTGTATATTGATTTTGAACCCACTCCAACTCTTATAAACTTTAATGTTATCTGTATATTCTTTTGGATTTTCTATATACATAATCCTGCCAATAATGACAGTGTGGTTTCTTTTCAGTCTGTGTACCTTTTCTTGCTTTTGCCTTACTGGGCTGGCTGGTGTCTCCACGACAGTTTTTCACAGAGGTGATGGTCGGAGGTATTCTTATTTCCAAGTTAAAAAAAAATTTTTTTTAAATGTTTTGTCAGAAAGTATGGTGTTTGCTACTAGCTTTTCTGTAGATACTCCTTATGAAACTAAGAAAGTTCCTCATTTGCTAAGCAGTTTTTCGTTTTTTTTTTTTTTTAAATCATGAGCGGACATTAAATTTTATCTAATACTTTTTCTGCACTTATTAAGATGATTGTATGATTTACTCCTTTAATTTTCTAATGCGGTGAATTAATTTAGTTGTCTTCTTATTATTCTGTTTATATTTTCAGTCTTTGCCTAATAGATTTACCAAAGACCATATGTTGTATGTAATTGTCCTGCCTCTAAAAAAAACTCTTTTAATCTAGAACAATTCTTTAACCTTTTTTTTGTTGGTTTGTTCCTTTTTGTGTGTCATTTGTTTGTTCCTTTTTGTGTGGCTTTTGACGTGTGCACTCCAATTTGGATTTGTCTAAACTGTTTCTTTATTGCTAGAATCAGATTAAACTCTTTGGGCAGAAATGCAACATAATGTTACATCCAGGTGAGACACATTAGAGGATCCACCTGATGTTAAATACGCCAAGTAGTCATGTTAAATCTGATAATTTGGTGAAGGCTATGTCTGCCAGATTTCTCCCTTGTAAAGGCACCTTCCCCTATGTGATTTGTAAGTTGTAGGGAGATGCTGTGATACCATCTGACTGGTGATTCTTGTCTGAATCTATTATTACCATGATGAGTGTAAAATGGTGATTAAAAAATGCCTGTCATTCCTTCTAATATTAGTTGACATTCCTTCATAAAAAGAGAGTCTTTACTTTTTCTCACTCCTTTTATGTTTTATCTTTTAAACATAAAATGGACTTATGGATTCTTTGATTAATCAGTGTGTGATCAAGTTCAGTCATTACTTTTGGTGCTCGAGTCATTACATATTTGGCCAGCGAGAGCCCTTTCAAGCTGAGTCCTGTGTCCTCATCAATTTTTAAGCACTTTTTAACATTATGGAATAAGTTATTCAGGCTAATCTTATATTTTTCCTATCTTGGCCATGGAGTTTGGCCATTTCTTCATGGTTCCAACTGGTAGGGAATTTGATTTAGAAACAAAGATCTGGGTTTGAGGCGTGTTCATTGCTGCTCCCTCTCAGTGGACAGAGCTAAGAAAGTTTCCTTTTTTAAAACAATTACGCAGCTACCTCTAATCTTAGTTAGAATTAGACTTTTATCTCCTTTTCCCATTTCAGATTTGTACTGTCCTCCCACCGTGCGAACCAGGGTTACAAAAGCATCAGTAATTGTATCCATTTGCTGAATCCTATGACGTACATACCATAATATTGGAATTACTACAACAGTAACACCATCACCAACAAATGAAGTTCAGATTTCCTGGTCATTCTCTTGTCCTCAGAATATATCCCACCCAGGGTGTATAACTGAAATTCTTTGTTCAAAATCACTTGGATTAGTTTTTTTTCTTTTGTTCTCTGTGTGGTTGTTTGTTTGACATATAGTTAAGTTTGTCTCCGTTTGGATTCGGGTATAGGGTTCTGCCATTCTTATTGATTTTTACTTTTTTTTTTTGAGTATATAAAACATTAACATGGTTCAAAAGTCAAAACTATGTGAAAAAATATACTCATGGTGTAAAGTTCTCTAGAACAGCCCAGCCCCATACTAAGCATGATACATATACAACAGCATCCCTTTAAAGGGGATGGACTATTATCCCCATTTTACAGGTGAGAAAACTGAGACTCAAATAACTAATCCAAGGTCATCTAGCTAATAAGTACATGAGCCAGAATTCAGTCCTGTGTCTGAGTCTAGAGTAGGGCCTTTACCACCACCATGCATTACAACTGAGCCCAAGAAAAGACAGACTCACAACTGGGCTTTTATATAAGCTTTAAAATGGCTCAACAACACATTTGAGAACAAATTCTTGCTCTGAAAGTTTGGGTTTATAAAACTGAAACATCATTATTTCAAAACTGTAATTGGCTAAAGCAAGTTGGCAAGAAATCACTGTATCTAGTAAAATACAACTTTCGCTTGATTTTTTTTTCTTCCCTAGAATGGGTCAAAGTTCTCCAAGGGAACATCATGCTTGTGAATGAAAATTTGTTGCCTTGGTAATATGCCTATGCAAAGCCAAAAGTGGGAACTGGGCAAAGTCATCGTGTGAGGAAAAGAATATCTCTCGTTATTAGAACAAGTAAAACTAGTCAACATTCATTTTACAAGGATCCTTTCCTGCAGGTTGCCAGCCCAGCCTTCTAGAAATATCTTTTCAAATGAGAGTAGAAACCTTGGAGAACTTCTGGTGGCCCAAGTCCTTCCAGTTATTGATGAGAGAAGGGAGGGGACTTGCTCGAGTCATATATTTGATGGCATCCCCACCCCCACTCCAGTTCACACACTTGCCTCCAAATTCCTGCTCTGGGCAACAAGCACAGGTATGGGATTTTCTCTGCGGGCTCGGGAATCTTGCGTTCCTGGAATGTCATCTGTACCTTGTAGATTTTTAGGATTTTATTGTCAGTCATTATTTTCATCAAGTTGTGTTTTTGCTACTGTCAATTAACTGTCTGAGCATCCTTCTAAGAACTGGAGTTAGTCAGAACCTGGCTGGTAGATAATAAACCCAATGTAAAGAACTGTCTGGGGAGAGAGAACTGATTTGCATAAAATCACTGGAGAAGAATTAAGTACGAAAATAGGTGTGAGTAGCTGTAATACAAGCAACAGGATTCAGAGAACTGAGTGATGAATGTGGGCTGGAGAAGTTTCATGTGAGAGGTAAAACTCGATGGGGCAGGATTAAGATAAACACCGGAACAAGGAGGACATGCAATTGCGGGGAGCAGCATAGCTAAAGACAAAGTGGGGGCTCAACGTGATGGGTATGAGGAGCAGGGAGCGGGCCTGTGCTGGAGTACAGGGTAGGTGTTGGGGCAGGTGAAGCGTTAGGTAAAGTAGAATTTTGAAATCCCAAGACAAAAAGAACAATAGAGATCATCATAGTGTCCATTTGGCTTAAAGAGACTTCTGAAACGATTTAATCCAAATCTTTTATTTTACATTTACAAAAACTGAACCCAACAGAGGTTAAGTGACTGGTCCAAGGTCATGCAGCAAGCTGAGAATTTGAATTTGCTAGAGCGAGAAGTGGGGAGCTATTAAAGATTTCTTCAGCAGGGTAGTAGCCTAACGCAAGTGGTATTTTGGGCAAGATGAGTCCCCTACCTTTAGATACAAAAGGTCAAGAGTTGGAAGAGGCAACACACTGACCAGTTGTGTATGTGGCTCCGATATAGCGGCCCAGTAGGGAGCTTGCTG